GTTCTCGGCAGACAACAGGGGGCACGAGATAGCGCGTCAGCTACCACGTAGGAGTGTATTCACCACAAAAAAGGGGGTGACGACACAGGCGAGCGCCGAAGGGCGCCCGTCGATAGAGGCGGTGGCCTCTTGGTGCAACGCGGCATGCCACGAAGCGGACATAACGTTCGGGTAGGGCAAGAGGCCCATTCCGAAGCGACGCGCCATCTCCAAAGGGAGCGGCTAGGCGCCTCGTGTCGTCACCGCAATAGGGGGTGCCGACACGGACGGGCGCAGAAGGGTTCCCGTCCATAGAGGCAATGGCCTCCGTGTGCAACGCGGCATCCGCTAAAAGGTACAGCGGACAAAAGTCCCGCGAAGCAGCCATGTTGCGACGAGCCCGAATCGCGCAGGCGAACTGACTCGCTAAGAGCAATCAAAAGCTAGAGCTTTTGATACCGCGTTGGGCGCCAGTGTGGTGTACACGTATCCCGAAGGAGTACGGCCACCAGCTTGGGTCCGGTCTTAGCGAGCCGCAGGGCACGCGTTAACCGTCGCCGTGGCGGGAAACACGATACTGCTCAAGTCGCAACACTGTATTGTGGCAACACCAAACGCAGTACAGCCCGTTGCAAAAAGGCGCGGCGGGAAAGCAAGTAGACTTATCCACGCCACGGGCACAAAGTACTACACAGGGTGCCACGAGCACGTCTCCGCGGTAAGGTAATCCACGGAGACACCGGGACAAAGGGGGCCCGGTTGCTCGAGCGAGGGCAAAGGCGCTCGCGTTGGCTTCGAAGGGAGACGGGTCGGCGTAGCTAGGCCACGCACTAGGACACCGTACTGCCCTTCGGCCGTGAGTACGCAGCGGGGCAACAAAAGGTGAGCGTTCGCATCGGGCGCGAGGCGCCGTCAGCGAAGTCCGACGAGCCCCGAGCGACGGGACTCGACGGACGGAAAAGAATGCGTGGCTCACCGTTTGAAGTCCCGGACTGTACTCACCGCTCCCGACGCAGCGCGCGAAAACCTCTCGGGAGGCTCCCCGCGCGGCGCCACAGTCAACATCCGCTACCGGGTGAGGGAGTTAAACGTCACTCCGCCCTTCCCAGCGCGGCAGACAGCAAAGGAGGGCAGACATGTCGGGACATGAGAATGGCAGAAAGGCGGGAAAGCCCGCGCAAAGGCAGCGGGCCAGCCTCAATTCCCACAACCTGAACCGAAGACTGAGGAAGAAGATAGCTGAGGTAAACAGATCAGTCGAGGAACATTGTCACGCACTATCGAGGCAGCAATGGGACGAAATCTGCAACTCCGTCGATGGTCAGATGCGCAATGGCAGGACATGGAATATGTTAAAGCATCTCCTCAACGAAAACACTACCAAAACAAATCAAAAGCATGTTATCGCTCGAATTTTGCATAAAGAGATAGCGCGCACTACAGAACAGCAAGTTGTCCAGCAGCTCGTGCATAAGTACCTCCCAATCAAAAGAGGATTGGCACCACCAAGTAGACAGTACCAGGGCACGCCAAATCCAGGTCTTGAGGGCGACTTTAACATCGAGGAGATCAGAAGAGCCTTGCATGATCTCAACGGCAGGTCGGCCCCTGGCCCGGACGGTATATCAAACAAGGCCCTGCGTAACCTTGACGACGATTCAATTGAAACCCTGAGGGATATGATCAATTCAGCATGGAAAGAAGGCAGGGTGCCAGAGCAGTGAAAGCTGGCCAGCACGATCCTTATTCCTAAGCCAGGAAAGCCCCCTAACTTGGACAACATGAGGCCAATATCCTTGACATCATGTATCGGCAAGGTCGCAGAACATGCCATACTGCACAGGATAAACAAGTACTTGGAAGATAACAACATATATACACACAATATGGTTGGATTCAGGGCAGGGCTATCCACACAAGATGCATTGAAGCTTATCAAACACCAGGTCATTGACAATGAAACCAGAGACGTGAGAGCCATTCTGTGCCTAGATCTAGAAAAAGCGTTTGACAACATCCACCACTCATTCATACTCGAAAGCAATTTCCAAGCTTGACAACATCCACCACTCATTCATACTCGAAGCAATTTCCAAGCTTGGTCTAGGGAAAGCCTTCTATGACTACGTATGGTCCTTTCTTACAGATCGAAAAGCCGTGATGAAGATTGCAGATATCGAGACCGCAGTAATCGAACTAGAAGCAAGGGGCACGCCACAAGGGGCAGTGATTTCACCAATGCTGTTCAACATTGCCATGATTGGACTGTCAAAGAAATTATCGAGCATTGAAGGATTGAAGCACAGCATCTACGCAGATGACATTACCATCTGGTGCACAGGTGGAAGCGAGGGGCATATTGAGAGCGCTCTGCAAGAGGCGATTGACACCGTAGAACACTACCTTCGCCCTTCCGGGCTCAAGTGCTCCTCGAGTAAGTCAGAACTTTTGCTTTATCGGACTGCACGCCGGGGACCGAAGCCCAGGGGATGGAAGCCGTTAAACCAGATAGACATCCATCTCCGTACAAATCAAGGGGATGCCATCCAGAGGGTCGACTCCATCAAAGTCCTGGGAATGCTGATAGTCTACCGGCGCCAACAGCAAATCTATAGCCAAGTTAACTCGGAAAACAGACAGTGCGGTGCACCTCATACGCAGAGTGGCCAACAAAAGAAATGGGATCAAGGAAGACAACCTCATCAGGTTGATGCATGCGTTTGTTCTAAGTCACTTCACATACGAGGCAGCAATGCACAACTGGTCAAGAGCAGAGTCCGAGACACTGAATGTGCTCCTCAGGAAAGTTATCAAGAAGGTCCTGGGCCTACCCATACATACCAGCACCGAGCGTCTGCTTGAGCTTGGCATACACAACACGCTCGAAGAAATAGCAGAAGCCCAAGAGAGAGCACAATTTGCAAGGTTATCTACTACAAGGTCGGGGAGAATGATCCTGCAGGAGCTGGGCCAACACCCAATAGCAATCAGACGCAATTACAATGATATCCCTGACAACATCAGGGAGACTATCACGGTATCTCCTATACCGAGAAACATGCATCCAGAACACAACGTCGGAAGAAGAGTAGCGAGGGCCAGGACTATACTTCGTCAAGTCTCAAACGAGGAATGAGGGGTCGTATTTGTTGACGCGGCTTCCTACGCCAATGGGAAAGCGTTTGTGGCAGTGGTAGTCGATGGGGCTGACCATGTCGTCAACTCAGCGACGGTCAGGACGAAAGACCCAATCATTGCGGAACAAGTGGCCATCGCCTTAGCACTCAAGATGGATAACATTGAAGTCGTCTACAGTGATTCCATGGCAGCACTACGGGCGTTCGCCAAGGGGACGGTCTGTGAACAAACGCTGAAAATACTGCAAGGCAAGAACATAACACATCATCTTCTGAGTTGGTTCCCAGCTCACCTTGGACAAATCAACGATTCCCCTCCCAATCTCAGCCCCGCCGCGGTGGTCTAGTGGCTAAGGTACTCGGCTGCTGACCCGCAGGTCGCGGGCTCAAATCCCGGCTGCGGCGGCTGCATTTTTGATGGAGGCGGAAATGTTGTAGGCCCGTGTACTCAGATTTGGGTGCACGTTAAAGAACCCCAGGTGGTCAAAATTTCCGGAGCCCTCCACTACGGCGTCTCTCATAATCATATGGTGGTTTTGGGACGTTAAACCCCACAAATCAATCAATCCTCCCAATCTCAACGAAGCAGCACACGAGGCGGCGCGAGAACTCTCCAACCGTGCCTCCCCGGGGATGCGTTTCTACCAGTGAAGGGGATAACCGGGAAATTCTTACAAGATATAACGAGCTCACTAAACATTTCTACCTGTCTAGAAGGATTTTCCCTCCACCTCACGAAAATCTAACCCGGCCCCAAGCACTTACATTAAGGCTTTTGCAAACGCGGATGTACCCTAGTTTGAAAATGTTACACATCATGTACCCTGACCTATACCCAAGTAATCTTGTCCACATTGTGGGGAAATAGCTTCATTAGAACACATGCTCTGGCAGTGCACCAAATTCGCTCATTTATCGCACATCACCTCTGCCAGATGGGAGGCGGCAATCCGCAGCTCGTCCTTGGCAGATCAGCTCTGGGCTGTCCACCAAGCCCGCGAGGCGGCTGAGGAGCTTGGCATCTCAGTCCCCACGTGGGAGCTGCCAGCAACACAGTGATCTGTGTTTTGGAGGACCAAATAAAAGTTTATCCAATCCAATCCAACTAAACGAAAAGTGGCTACATACAGGGGACGCACAGCCCAAGCCTTAAGGAGCTTCGCCCCTAAAAAGAACCACCGGACGTTACTATGCGGAATGGCACAAGAGGTTCAAAAGTTCAATTTTCGCCTGGTTAAACTGGACAGGTCGTGCCATCTAGCGGGACATAGTTGAGCCAAGGCCACCTGCTATTTCAGAGGCCACGGCAGGAAATTGTTCAATGGCGGTTGTTGCTTCTGTGGCTTCCACTACTTTCACTCTGCTGCTACTAGTGTAAGTAGTCGCACAGTAAAGCCAGACAACGTTGTGCACGGCAGCAGTGACATGACAGCTTTCACTTTGAGGCGGGTAATTGAAGAGCGCTAACCCAATGCAAACCACTAAAAGAGGATTTTATTTTAAAATAAGCACTTCCTGGCACAAAAGTAACACTGCGGGGTTTCTGGACCGATATTTCAACAATCAACGTCAACTTAATAGTTGCCTTAGTGTCCCATTAAAACAAAGAGTTCTCAAGATAACTTTTGGAGAAAGTCACTTTTATAAAAAACATATTTCACAACCGTTTTATAAGAGGTAACACTGGGACCGCTGATCACAACGGGCAACAACTTACAATTATGAGTAATCACGCAAAACAGGCAAAACAGACAAATGGCCATTCAATGAAGGTGCAGAAAGGAGGCGAAAGATTAGCAAGAATAACACAAGAACTCAGCAGCCACAGAGACGACAAAAATTCGAAGGCAATTCTCGTCGACTGAAGTTACTAAACTGATTTACCTCTGTGGTTTTGATGTTGGCGTTCTTCAATCTGTGTGCCTCATCACAGATGAGCAAGTCGAAGTTGATACGAGAAAGGCGATCGCTGGCGCGCATATACATCTCGTACGAAAGAATCAGCACAGGATACATAGATGGGTCATTTAAAAAGATCTGAAAAAAAAAAAGAAGTTAATTATAAAGCATGATTACCTCATAAAATCCAGGTCTCCACGGCAATGCATTGAAACTCAATGGCATGAGCCATCAAGGAGCACGAAAATAACTGATTATAGCCCGCTGGTAACAATGGTGCCAACAAATTCTGACGCTGTAGCAAGTGCGATTTGTCGCAACTACGAAAAGCTATAAATGTATTCTAAAGGCAATGAAATAAGGGCAAATAACATGTTCATATTAGCAACAAAGAAGCTTAAGTACATACAAAAACATTGTTTATTTGTAAGGGCGATGTTTTAAAAATGATGACCCAGCTACACATATTATTAGAAAAGGTCGCAATACAAATCTTGGACTAAACTATTCATAGCTAGTTGATCAGTTACTACGCAACAATTTGGCAGTTTAGAAAATGGCCTTTCACAGAGCCAGTAAAGGTGGTAGAGCACTTACGTCAATTTTGTTATTCTGATCGACGTGGTACACTCGAAGGTTTCTGTTCGGCAGCCACTTCTTGAACTCCTTGACCCAATTCTGCCCTCGATGAACAACAAATATGATAAGTCTGCATACATATGACACTGCACAGATGTACAACTCATGTCAGTTATGGATTATTAGCACTCCTAATGGTATCGAATACAATCCTACCCACAGAATGGGAACACATGGCATCTACAACCAAAGATATTGAGTACCCTGTTTATCGTAACCCCTCTTTTAAAAATTCCTTGCTAGAACATTCCAGTTGTTGACCACGACTTCGCAGCAGAAGTAGCGTATTCGAGGCACACAGAATATTGCACTAATTTCCAATACCTTCAGTTTTAGCCAGTGACACTAAGTCACAATGTAAAAGAAGAACAAGCAAGCACTTCAACATGACTTAAAAAGCTAGCAGTTTACTACATGTACTACATACTACAGCATATACAGAGCAGCTTCCAAATAATACCATAGCACAGGTAATAACTGCACGATAACATGCATCTTCAAGCAACAGTACTTTAGTATCGCAATGCAGTATTACACTTCTTACTCAATGCCTTATATGATGTAAGGCAAAGTAACTGCTGCGGAGCAGCTATTAAACACCACTCTTCCAATGAAGCATGAACAAACATTCCCAAAGAAAATAGACATGTAATGCTTCAATCTTCTTTCCAACTGAGCTGCCCATAACATTTATTTTCCTCTCACCAGAACATGAACCAACACGCAAATTTTTCAGCACTGTGTTCACGTCAGTGTCATCTGCCCAGTACACACCTTGACAAGGCTACTCGGTGTGACAATGATAACTTTACGAAGACATGGTTGGCCTCCATATGGTCCTTGCCTCAGTAGGGTCCTGCAGTGAATTGTGTCACATTGTCCATTTTGCAATGCAATTTGTTTTGTGGGTGCCGCATGCAACGTTTATTTTATAAGCACATGCTTTTGTATTGTTCGTTCTCACCATATGAGTGTGATACATTGAAGGGTCTTTCCAAGGCCCATTTCATCCCTGAAATACGATATTCACTTTGAAGTATAGTGTAAACGCATCCCTCTTCCAGCATACAAAAGAAAAAAAACATTTGAGACATTTTTTTCCCCATTTCAAATACGGTAAATGGAAGATGAGCATTAAAAAAAAGGTAAACAAGGATTCCCAGACAACAAAAACTCTTGAAAAGTGCTACATTTGGCCTTCCCTAATGAAATAAATTTTATGCGTGATATTGACAAATTCGAACTTTCAGTCAACACTAAATCACTTAAGTCACTCAGATTACCTTTTTTGTGCCATTCAGATAAGGCTTAATTGTGATCAACCTGAGTGGCAGCTTCACTTGATTAGGGTACTTTTCTTTTTTTCCTTTGTTGAAAAATGGCAGGAAATTCAGCTTAAACTATTAAAGTATAAAGACTAAGCACAGGCCAATTATGCAAGACAACCTATGGAAACTGATTTGATTGATATGTGGGGTTTAACGTCCCAAAACCACTACCTATGGAAACTACACAATGCAAATCAATAAGGTGCTCAATGCATACAGAGGAGTGATATTGCCGATAATTTGTAATTACTCGCTCTACTGCCACGGATAATCATGTAAACAGTCCAGTAAAACTTGTTAGTAGACTAGTTTATACATGCTAAATAATGCAAAAAATAACACACACAAACAAGAAAAAAAACACCCGTTTCTCTTTCTTTTGTGGTTGCTGCACATCTTTTTTTACACCAGTTATAACAGCGTAATGATCTCACATAAACTTTCACATACAATACTACATTCACTGCATATAGAGGAAAACCTCATTAATTCAAAGTCACCGAGATTGCGAGAAATCCTAGAATCAAGCGGGTTTCCGAATAAACAGAACATAGAATAAGTGGGATGCAAAAAACAATTATTCGAAGTAATAAGGGCTGATCATTTACTGTGCCGGCTAGATTGCGGCTCCAAAAATTATGCTTTTTTGTAATACCTGGTCTTAATTTTGCCACAAACACGGAGGAACGGTAAGCCTGGCTGCTACTACCAAAAAATGCTACTACCAAAAATAAAAAAAAGGAACGAAAAATGCCGTTGTGATCAACAATTGCGCACCTGCGGAAAACAAGACATACTTCGCTGCAATACAGCAGTGACAAACGGGCAGCGTGTCACCTGCTCCTTGCTGAGTCGGCACGTCATTATGCGACCGTTCGCCCGTTCTTTTTGGTAACATAAAACATTTATTAATGGCTAGTGTGACGAAACTCGCAATATGTTTTGGCTGGAATACATGATCATTGAAGCTTTCGAGCTTAGCTTTCGAAGTAGGCGTTGCAAGCAATTGGTTGATATTTGGGGTATAATGTCCCAAAAACCACGATATGATTATGAGAGGCGCTGTAGTGAAGGGTTTCGTAAATTTCGAACACCTGGGGTACTTTGACGTGCACCCAAACCTGAGCACATGGGCATACAGCATTTTCGCCTCCATCGAAAATGCAGCCGCCACAGCCGGGATTCGATCCTGCAACCTGCGGGTCAGCAGCCTTAGCATCTTAGCCACTAGACTACCGCGGCGGGGGGTGTTGCAAACAAGAATTCTGCCATGAGTGCAAGTACGCTAATTGCTGCATCAAGCGACACTCGGAGGTTCACATACATCGCGAATTTCTCCAGACAGTCTTCTGTCGAATTTCTTTACAATCCCAGAAAAGATGGGTGAATCATAACGCGCTGACGTGGCGAGAAACATCCAATATGCTGTCCATGCGTCACTACTGTGTTGCAGTTAAACACATTTTGTTTTTTGCAGGCGCACGTTTCGGTTCACCACATGACTTTTTCTTTTTGCGCTGGAAGTAGCGAGGCTGGTGTGCTTCAGTTGCCACTTCTTGGTATCGCTACATTGATTTGCCCAGTGGCTCTGAAAAGCAGTTGTTTGCACTGATTTGCGGTGAAATAGGGATCAATTATTGACACATGACACCCATAGTTTTCGAATTAATCGAACTGGTGCTAACTGTCGCTTCAAATTATCTGCTCAGACTTACACTGCGAAATGTGGGACTGCGGAAACATTTCAAATTAAGCCAGATTTTGAAATAACCGAGTTTGAGATAATGAGGTTTCACAGTATATGTTAAAGTGCCATCATTTGAGAACAGAAAAGCCATCAGTGCAGACAGTATTCTGCGACAATTCATGAATTTCCTGCCGAGTTGCCATTGGATATGGAAACTAGCTTTAGAAGAAACAGGAAAGAACAAATTCTTACGCCAGAATTGCGCCACATCCATCAAACGCTCTCATCTGCATGATACACTCGTATAGAAAGACGACACCTTCCCGCTGGTGAGGTCGCAGGCACCGGGTGAGCGAGTCTTCAACGACTACGTCCGTCACAGGAAGGTTTTTCTTGTTGTTGTCCCACTGAAATGCACACAGAGTCGAGCTGGCGTAATGTAACTCAATACTGTTATGCTATTCCGAATTGACGTCCTCCAACTCGTACGCCTCTTTAGAAATGTGCAGGCTTCTTTGCACTAGTTCACCAGATCAGAAACTGGATGACACAGGCAACACTAATGGTGGATGAGTTTAGTTGCGTCACTTGCTGTACACTACTGCATTGCACGGGTTTCCCGCCTGCATATTATCTCAGGTGTGGCAAAAAGTGCCCACCGGCAGACAGATGAGCACATTTGAACGCAGCCCTTGTCAAAGTTTCGCTCGTACACTCAAATAATGAAGGTGCACCTTACATTTAAAATAAGTTCGTTATATACAAAAATTCGTAATGAAGGTCTATTCCTAGCACTCTGTCTACTGGAAGAGTACTTTTCACTTACTTTGTTAGACCCAAAGTTGTTATATCGAGGTTGTTATATCAAAGTTGTTATATCGAAGTGACTACCGCATAAGTGCGCATCACAGTTAGTGGTGTCGATACAAAATCTGTGGTCACTCTTGCAATTGTTTCACGTGTGGTAACAAAGTTTGAGCAGTCAATATTCCTTAGTCACAGTCTATTTCTTACCTAACAAAAGTGACACAAGCACTTTGTCGGAGAATATTGCTATTGCTAATGTCAATGAGTACAGAGCTCCATAGATGCAAAACGCTTACAAGTGTCCTGTTCACTTCCAATTACAGTTTTAAGTTACATTCAGCAATCGGTGCTCTGAAAAATGAGGCCCCATGTAACAGGTTTTTCTAAGACCTAACAAAAAGGAAACCAAAAGCCACCCCCCTCCACCCCACTTGTTTTTTGTTTTTTGTTTTTTCAGTACAAGTGCCGAATTCAATTTTGGGAGTTTGCAACCCACCTTGCTCACCACGTTTTAACATCCGCATGCTCGAACACTAGTGGCTGCCATGTCACTAGGAGATATCAATAATTTGGTCCAAATCGAGGGAACGAGAACATAGACACAAAGTAGCCAAGCCATTTTTCTAGTGCCACCAGCCTAAAAAAGTAGCCATATTGGTGCCAAGTAGCCAAACCTCGCCACCCTGATTACCAAATGCAGAAATGTTCCAGTTACATTGTTTACTTAAGAAAAGTCAAGTTCCGAAATATTTTACGTGTTCTGCCAAGACTTTGTAATATTTTTAAAAATTTTAGCCAAGTTTTTAGCTTAGTAACTTAGTATAAGCACAGGCATTACTATTCCACAAGTTTTTTAAGGCAAGTCTTTTATTGCACTAGAAGCTGATAGTTGAACAAACAGTTGCACTTAGCAATCAAGTTACAAAAAAAATTCGAGTTGCAAATTAATGACTTACATAGTACCATGAGTAATGAATATCTTTTATCAAATATGTTTCATTGGATGAAATTTACGCACCTAATATATTTATTGCTGTTATAAAACTGTAAACAAAATTTGTCACTTTAAAATTCTTCAGCAATTTCCTTGAAATGTCAATATCCTAAAGAAAAGCTTATTTCCAAAGTCAATAAATCCTACTTTACTATTAATGCAATGAATCTCCCCTTACTCAGTTATGTGAATGCTGAGCAAAATAATTTTTATTTTCATTTATTTGCCTAGACGCTCTAGAGGTACAGCTTCCTGTGAATGTCGTGCAATCTGTGTTTCCTTGTTACTATCAAAGTATTTTATTTGAAAGGGTGTATAGATACTTTGAGTGAGGAATCACCAGCAAGAGGTCTATCATCAAAATGAATTGTGCAGCAGCACATATGATCTTTGGTGTATTGTGGAACTGAAGAGAGATTGTGAGAAAGCTCTTTGTTGAAAAAAAAAGTAAAATTATTATTGTTAACGCTTTACATCCCAAAACCACACCAGGATTATGAAAGGAATCACGGTGGAGGGTTCCAATCATTTCGATCGCCTGGTACTTTTTAATGTGCACCTGAATCTTAAGCACACAAGCCTACATATGCCTCCATCAAAATACAGCTAAGAATTAATCCTGCAACCTTTAGGTCATCAGCTGTGCACTATAACCACCAGAACATTGCAGCGGGTATTGAAACTGAACAAGTGAAACTGCTATTTCAATATACAAACGATGATCAGCATTTCTTAAAAGACAAGTTTTGCAGCTGGGTCGCAGAGGATATACAACGAAATCACCCCCTTTTTTCAACACATATAGACAAACAATGATAATACAGTATTCATTTGTTGCCTGACACTTCTGATCATTCCAGCGTTACGATGTGACTAAACACTAAACTCTGATGCTGATGTCAAAGCTTCAGCACATTTTGGCGAAAATTACTACCCTCTTGCCTCTAACTCTCCCATCTCCCAGTGTAGGACAGCAATCTGGACTTTCTATTCTGGTTAACATTCCCATACTGCCCCTATTACTAACAATGCAATCTGCTTCAACTAAGAAATTGAATTCTGACGTTTTACCTCCCAAAGCTTTCATACGATTACAAGTCGAAGTGTGGATTTCAAGTTGATTCTGACTACCCAAGATTGCTTAACAATCACATTCGTCTGAGTACACAGGCCCTTCCACATTTTGCCCCCATTGAAATGCGCCAGTCGTGGCCTGACATTAAACCCACATCTATAGTGGGTAACCAACTGATTTGAAGTAACCTGCTTTTGTGCTGCAGCAACGAGTGTCCATTGTATTAGCCTCATTTTTTAAACCTTAACTATCGCAATGACGCAACAGAAGCGTACCATGTTTTGCTTCCATGTACAGTTGCACTAAATATGACCTGCAACACAGCGGCCATCATTGATGCGGTTTCGAGTCTACACTAACGTCAACAAACATGAAAGTGGACTTGAAAATGCTGGTAGCTAAACCTGCTTATAACGAACCTCCATATAACGAATTTCTTTATATAACAAAGTTTTTTTATTCCCCGCCATTGCTCCATTGAAGCACGTGTACTTGCGACCTCTATGTAACGAAGTAACAGTGGGAGACAACCTTGATATAACAAATTTTCCCCGTGAACAATCTAGAAATTTTACTTCGCATTTTGGTACGAGCATGCATCTTTCGCAACTGCCCCGCCGCCATCAAAGCGCGAAGCGGCGGCGCGCACGGTGCACCAGGCGAGAGCAATCGCTCGTTATTGGGCGCGGGTGGGTAAACGCCAGGCGGGCCTGCACCCCACGAGCGGGTATGCGCGGGTGTGCGCCCTCCCCCACCACTGTAAACCAAAATAAAAAAAATAAAACTACTTGTGCGGGTTGACAGTGCCACGCCTTTAGTTAGCGTTACATATGCGGGGCGGCGCTGCACATGGAGAGCGCTTGACCGAATAGTTTTCTGCGGAGTCCGTGTCGTTCGCTCTTCGTTTACGACGCCGTGCGCGCGTGAATAGTTTCACTGCGCGCACATGGCGCGGCCCCCGACGACGTTCAGCTTTGCTTTTTTATTATTATTATTATTATTGCGATAGCAATTACATGGACAGTCTCGGCTGGTTTTTCGCAGTCGCCGTAGCCATTCACCGTATACGTATCTATATAAACGAAAACTCAGGAAAGGAAAAAAAAAAAAAGAAGCCGCCCGCGCACGGCGCCCAGTTCATTCCGATGCGCGCTTATCTACCACGCATACTTTGCCCCGCGAATGGGGGAGGGGGAGGTCAGATGCTTGTGCGTGTGCGCTTATCCTTCGCTGAAGAAAATCGCGCGCCTTCGACTTTGACCGGAACAATTGCGTTTAGTTGCCGGGCGCAAAAAGATCACTTCGCTCGCAGGACAGGCGCCTTTTGCGAAATGAGTGCGCTTTTCAAACACAGCAAAGTAACAACTGGGGCACATTGTTGGTTCGCACTCATTTCTGTACCTGTGATTCCGTTTCGTGCCTCGTTTTTTGTTCAAACAGCGCGTTAAGTGTCGAGCGGTATACGTTGTTAGTTAGCTCTCGTCCTGTGTATGTTGTTTTTTCTTTGTATGTTGTTTTTTTAGGAGCAACGCGCTGCCCGTTTCCATCTGCTTGCCGTTCTCAGCGTTAATTTCAAGCAGTTGCTATCGCATTGCTTCGCCCCTGCGGCGAAACTGTGACTTTTCTTAATTTCGGACAACCGTGTCCTCACCACTGAAAGGATGTCAGATTAGGCGCTGATGGAAACTCTCCGAGACCACGGTGACGACGGATCTTCGGAGGTCGACCCGTCACGCGCTTCCGTCTTGCGCCGCGAGTTGGCAGGCTGGTAGCTTTCGCGATTATAGCCGATTAGTTCCAGCAACACGACGGCGCGTTGAATGCAATGCAATGAGCGCGATAGCAAAAAATCGTAATGTTATAAAAGCAAGGCTGGCAGCCAACTTTCTTGGGTCCGATATCGCGGAACTCCTACAAAATGCTATAGTGTGAGCAAATACGGCCGCTCCAGGGAGAAGTGCTCTTTTCACGCAGTCTCTTCGCGTTGAAACCGCACTGATAATCGCCGAGATAGCAAGCGCGCCAGCTATCGCGACCGCCCCTAAAATCCAAGTTCATCGTTACTACTCAAGCGATCACCCCCCCCCCCTCTCTCTCTCTCTCTCGCGTTGTTTTAGGTTCGTTCAAGACGGTTGGTTTACTTTCTGTTTGAACATTCAACGGCAGTTCTAACACGCGGGAGATGTTATGTACTTTCCAGGCGATAGGGATGGGCCGACTCACACGATGTCTGCTTCAGCAGCACTCGCTTGCTTTTACCCGCTCGTGAAAGTTACGATGCACGGGGGCATGTTATCAATTTGCACTTGTTACAGAACGTGGCAGCGATGGAAAACCCGCCGAGAGTGTCCATATAATTGCTATCACGATATCAATGCAGTTTTTTACTGTAAAATAAGTGTTTTGGGTTAGCTCTGCCTTCAATGTCACTTTTGTTTAATTTGCGCGTTTATTTACGAATTTTCATACGGAACCTGCATATAACGAAATCCTCTTTATAACAATTTTTTCAGGGAATTAATCAATTTCATTATATCTAAATTTAACTGTATTCGACACAGTGATAACGTCACTGATAGGTTTCTATTTCAATGCCACCATGAAGTGTTGGCAGCACTTAGACAAATATTTATGGTAGCGCAAGGTAACCGGACACAAGAACACGAGACACGCACACACAGCGTCTCCATGTTCTTCTCTTGTCCCGTTAGCTCACACAACCATTGTTATTCAAACATGTCATATCAACAAGCTCGCCTTGCAATTTTACACCACTTAGACCACATGCAGCATGTTGCAATTCACTTTAGCCGCAGTTGTACTCGGGTCAAAAACTTGCTACAGAACATGCTATGCACAAGTTCCGAGAGTAGGCGTAGACGGCATCGTTTACAGCGTTTGCTCTTCCTACTAAAAGTATGAGGTTGCCAACAAGCAGGTAAAGGTCATACTTGGTGAATGTTGTTTGGGCGTGGCATGACTAACGAGTCCTGCTTAATCTGTGGACTGGGTGGCAGGACGAAAATCTTTTTGCTGCTTGCATTGGGGGGAAGGCCTCCCACATGAGGGCTTCTGAAAGCAGGGAACTTGACTGTGGGATTTTGTTGTGCTGATGTCTCTGTGTGGAAACCAAAAAAAAATTTTGTTGTAGTATTTTGTTAACTGTAGCATGAAGTGCCTACATCGACAGCAAAATTGGTGCACGTACTCAAGTAAGTGTAGCACTTTTGATATCTGTGGTGTTCACTAGCTGCTGCCCTTGCACAGAGCCCGAACAAATAGCCCGAACAAATTTTTTTTTTCAGTGTGCGATTTTCTCTACAATTTCGTTGCAACAAAAGAGTGAATGCTTTGATTAAGCATATTTAACAGCTTTGACATTGATATTTCATGTGTTTTGTCCTTGCATATAACTCACCACTGCTTATACTTTTCTTCACAGCTTATGCACAATTAAGTTACTTTTTTGTCCAGCTTCTTTTTTTGGGGAGGGCACCACAGCCCTTTAACTTACTTTTCAGAAGTTAATGACGAACATATAATAGCTCCAGTGAAATCCCGCTGTAACACAAGAATGTTAATTCAGAACTTCTAAAAGACTATCATTTTTTTATTTCTTTGAAACGAGAAGGTTGAAATCAATGCGAGTTCAATCAAGTGCAAACAGAAACAGAATGCAAAAGTGGACAAGCTTAGGCACTGAGGACCTATGTAGAACGCCTGACTGTATTCGTAACAGCCAATCGAATCGAACCATTTCATTGGTGTCTGTAATTTCATTGGTGCTAAAGGAAGCTCCGGCAACCACCTGTTCTTTGCTTTGTTTCTCGTCCATAGAAAACCACAAGGGTGAAAACACTTTTCATTCAATACTTATCTGTTTCGTGTAGAAGACACTGAAACAAATTAGAAACTCGAACTATGACTTTCAGACCTGCTTGATAGTCGGAAATTTCATATCTTCGTTCAGTTCAAACAATCTGAAGGCATTAGGACAACTTGGCAACACAAACGGGACAAAGTAAGACGGTAAACAAACAACTTTATCTCATTCTTACTTTGTCCCGTTTATGTTGCCAAGTTGTCAATATAAATCTGTACCGAACATCCCGTCTATCAACTTTTCTGCAATACAAGGGCCATTTCTTTGCTTTTTCAGTTCCATCATGTAAATCAAGACTACTACAAAGCCATTTATTTGCACAGGCCTGTGCCACAAATGTTACGAAAGATCATCAGGCTTTTATGCACATATTAGATGAAAAAAGGCAGCACAAGCAATTAGTATTGTTGGGTTTTACTAAGTGTAGGTGCCGAACTTGACTGTTTCGAGTCCTCTTGCGTCGCTGCAGGTACAAAGCCATCACTGAAACAGCGTCCTGATAAATAATCTTCAGTAGATATGGATGCTTGAATCTGTGGGAAAAAAAAAAGACTTGAGAAAATCAACATTTTTCACAAGAAATCAATGAATTGATAGGCACAAAGAAAAAATCATGCAGGAAATAGACAAGCCATTATGAGACTACGGCATATGTTCATTGCTATGTGCAAATGAGTACACTTACGCTGATGTTAGAGAATGAGTTCGACAGTCCTGGCCGTAATCAGGTCACATAGATAAGACAGGGTTTATAGTTGAAGTACCGTACTATGAATATCATGCAACTAATGCATGCTAAGGCAATAATGTGGAACAAAAAGTGAATGTGGTAACTCTTGCATCAATGTAATAAATAAATGGTTACCTATCAAGTTCAGCAGCTCTATTACCAGAGAAAAAGTGACAAGTATTGCAGTTACGTAAATGAACATCATTTTAAACAATGCATGCATCGATAAATTACCTCGCATTCCTTGCCACCGATGCTGAAAATGCTTCCTTCTTCGATTGCATCAACCTCCTTCACTTTGTACCCAAATGCTGAAGACAATCTGCATTGTTTTCAGGAATTGCATGAAGAGAGAAGAAAGAGAACAGTTCGAATTCATTTTTTATATCTAACCAAGCAGAACAACGTGTATGTTGCGTATCTTTGTCCTTGCAGCACTTTCGATGATAAAAAAATTGTAGTTTGTATTATCTGTCTACACATTTATAGAATCTTACGAATTGGTTTGAGTGCCACCATATTCGGCTTTTAACCTTTTCGTTTTGATTCTTTAACAATTAAATCGACAAGGTTACTGGAGATGCATACGCAGGAAAACAGTTGGGTTGGTACACACTATGTTTTGTGCTCTTATTAATATGTGTCGCAATATAAAAGACTAGAAAACCGTGGGTTAACAGCCAAGATGGCGGCGCTCACATGTCTTGCTGAAAATAGTCTATAGACACTGATATACTACAAGTGAATATCTTCAGATTCAGAAGGAGGAGCTCTAATAGCATAATCAACAAAAGTAAATGCAAGATGCTCATTTATAAGTAAGGGCACACCACACCGCATGAAAGGGCAAGACAGATAACTTGAATTAAATTAAAGAACAAATGGGAACCAAGTACTGAATGCCGGACATGTTCGTAACTTTTGTCGATGAAAAATAGCACGAAAAAGCAAAGCATGAGGACAAAAACACACACAAGAGAAAGAGAGGTAACAGTGCATCAAGATCTGGCGGTTCCGACCTGCCAACCACTCCCTTCTTTAACTCTTGTGGTCTGTCTTTCCTTCCAAGATTCATTTTTCTTGTGCCGTACTTAATGTAAGAGTGAACAGTAGACATCAACGAAGAGGATGCTCCTCTAAACTTACTAAACCATAATATAAGAAAACATTTAGTGTTGTAGCCCCCTTATGTGCTGCACTGTTGCACAGGAAAAAATTACATTTGCACGATAGGGCCTGTCGCGGAGCTAGCTGGTTTACTAGCTAAAATTTCCTGCAGAAACAAGTTTGCTCCTACAATTAGTAAAGTGGCTGAGCACGATGCTTAGATCAGTTGAAGACATTTATAACAAGAACAAGCTGCACAAGGCACCGATTACTATACTAACGTGCACGTATGATAGTGAGATTTACCGCAGGATTAAAATGTGACATTTTTTTAGGAACCATTGCCGTCCTAAAGCACCGAAAAGTTGATCACAACACCGGTTTCAATCACACGTGGTTTATCCCACACACCCACACCAACTACGGCAAAGAAATGCTTCGCTTTCTCTTGCCGTTTCATTTGAATGTCATATCTGCCATTGGAGTAAAATTATGCATGTTTTTTTTTTCCTTTCAAAACATTTTGTGTCTCTTACGACATGAGCACATGCCCAATCTGACTTTGGTGCAAATCTAGTAGTACTTGTATCAGTACACTGTATTATTGATTTTCATATGTGTAAGACATAATTAGAATAATTTCTATTTTTTTCCAGTCTCACCTTCTGAGTTTATTGTTTTAAATTTTTATGCCTTATATTCACTTGCATAAACTGTTAACAAACTGCTTGCTCAATATGCACAATTTCATTGCAATAAAATTGTTGTCTATGCCGTGCATTTGCAAGGAGTCGTGGTACCAGTCGAGCCCTTTAGAGGCTTTCTGACCACGGCCCTCAGCATCTCGAATGTTGAAATTAATAAAGTTTCAAAGTATTGAACAAAACTCACTCTTTTCCCTCCAGGCTTCTCAGTGTGGCCGACCGTCCTTTGATGATGAGTACAGCTGCGTCAAAGAAATGCCCACAGATGGTCAGTTCTGTGCACATTAAATGGTTACAAACAATCATGCACGAAAAAGGAGAGCAAACAATAAATGACAGTGAAATAAGCTAAATGAACTTCCAGTTGGCGACCCTGCCAACCGGTGGAGAGCAGATGAGAGATTCAGAAAACATAAATGCAAAAGAAAATATTCCAGAGGTTTTACACGCCTGAACGTCACTATAATAATGCATGCCATAGAGAAGACTTAGAATAAATATTGTTATCTGGCGTTCATGATTACACAACTAAATCCAGTGTCTATGTGGATGTTTTTGCATTTAGTCACTCCTCGCTCCCTAAAAAATATGCAAAGTATGCAAAAGGAGTCGGGGGTGTTCCTACCAGTGTGCCTACCAAAATGTGTCTACCAGGAGTCTCAAGCTCATCTTAGCTGGCGGGCCACAGTGAAAAAAATTATCTCCTGTCGGAATAGTGGATAATGTAGAAGCAGAAAAGAGAGGAAAGGTGTCTTTCTTTCTTTCAAAAAAAAAAAAAGAAAAGCACACTAACATTGCCATTCAAAAAGGTGACCTTTTCAATATATATATATATATATATATATATATATATATATATATATATATAAACCCTAAGTAATCTCCGCCGGCATGAGAAAATTACCAGCAAAATGTTAAAAGCAATGTTACCTGCCCATTCTGTTCCCGTTCGATTCTATTTGCTCCCCAAAATACACAAGGCAGGCAATCCGGGACGTCCGATAGCATCCAGTAACAGCGCATCAACAGAAAATATATCAGAATTCATCAATTCCTTAAAAAAAGACATCCCCCCGAATTTTCCCTATACCTAATGGACATAAACCACTTCATCTGCGAAACTTCAAGTCTCAACATCCCAAGCGGTAATTTTCTGGAGACCGTGTACGTTTGCTCACTGTACACTAACATACCCCACCATGACGGAATAACGGCTATGGTTTCTGAATATGTAAAATTTGATTCATCAACTGGTGTAAGTGGCAAGGTAGTGTTTACACTTTTTGAACTTGTGCGAAATTATAACCATTTTGAGTTCAATGGCAAGCACTTCCTTCAGGTTAGTGTCACTGCAATGGGCACAAAAATTTCCCCAAACTTTTTGAGCACCCTCATAGCATCACTTGAGATCCCATTGATTGAGGGACACACCTTGAAACGTTTCTACTGCAGAAGATACTTAGACGCATTTTTATGATATGAAACCACGACGAGGGAAGTCTTTGCTTCGTAGAAGATTTTAACAAGTTCCACCCGTTGATTAAATTCACGCACAAAATTTCCAAAACTAACATTTACATTCTTGGACGTCACTGTCACGGTCAAAAATGGCCGCTTGTCAACAAACCTTCACGAAAAGCCTACAGGCCGTAAAATGTGCCTACATTTCAGCAACAGCCATCCAAAGCATTGCAAAACGGGTATTCCATATTCTCAGGCCTATTGGTACCGAAGAATATGCACGGATATGCAGGAATTTGACAGACACGCAGAACGCCTAAAGCATTCCCTATTGAAACAAAATTATCCTGAAGACATTATTGACGATGCCATACTACGTGCTATAGCAACGTGAATTGGAATGATATAATTAAGGGGCCAAACAGTATATAAACTACTTCCCAAACGAACCTTGTACTAACTTACTCTTCATCAGTGCCACAAATCAACAACATACTTTCCCGCCATTTCCACATTATCAGGCAAAGCAAACGACTAACTTCAATTTTCGCGGAGCCACCTCACAAGGTGTTTCTCAGGGATAAAAACCTGAAGAAGGACATTATTGTCAGAACAAAAACAAACCCCTCCAAAATTCAATCAGGGTGCCATCCCTGTGGAAAAGCTCGCTGCAAGGTATGCCCACAGATGGTCACAACACGTGAATATAAAAGCGAACTTCTCGGATTTTGAAATTCTGCATAACTGAAAGCCTTAATTGTGACTCCAGAAACGTAATATACGTGCTACATTGCAACATCTGCGGACAAGAATACATCGGCCAAACAGACATGCCATTTCGGCTGCGGTTCAATAATCACCGGTACCACGCCACTTCCCTCCTGAAGCTACCTCAGTCTAGGCATCTGCACCTGCCAAACCAGAGTTTCGAAAATATCAGTGCAATTCTTTTACAGTCCAGTTTCCTAAACAGGCGCGAGTGTGAACAGCGTGAAGCATATTTTATTTTCAAATTCAGAACGTAAGTAGCCAGCATCAACGAGGACCCCGGAAGACTCTCCTGCCCCGGGAGGTAAGCCAGGAGGAAATTGGCAACAAAGATTCATAACTGGAGACCATGCTTGTTTTCTGACTGACTTGTACGTGTACAGTGTCTCTCCTTTTTCTTTTTTCTTTTTTCTCTTCACGTGCACATACAAAGTGAAGTGTTTACACTCGCCTACAACCTGAAGGCCAATGAAGGGAAACGAGCGAAGATGAAAGGTAAAGAGCCGACCGATCCATTCAGAGGACACTCTTCCTTTACGCGCGGTGGCGCGGGCCCCTACCGCCACCGCGGCGGCAATCTTGGGTGGCCCTACACATGTCAAGAACTGACCGGCACAAGATGAGAACCAGATGTGGACTTACACTGACTTTTGGATGTGCACGGTCTGGTATTGTGCTCGACGTTCACCGCTTTTTTTTTTTTCACACTTTCGCAAACCTTTTTCAAGGTGAGAGGGACGCAGCAGCAACTAAGTTTGAACATCTACGTTAGTCCAACTTATCCTCTGACAAAGGGAGGTCCCCTCCCGAAACTGTTAGGGAACAAATATATTTATCATTGTTGACAACACTCCCATTGTGTTATATCCCATATCTTCGCCAAGAAAAACTGGCCCATTGAAATAATACTTTCAGTAAATATATATATTGTCACGTCGCTCCAGGGGGTGTCGACAAGGTATAATGACGTCTGAGCAACAGGGCTCTAACCAAGCGCGTCGGTTAGGCTTGTTTGCCAGAGCGGGGGGGGGGGGGGGGGCAACGCGCACTTCTTTCTTCTCTGTGGTGTGTGCCTTCACCTTGGCATACGACCCACTACTAGAAGTAGGTGGCAATATTCCTCCTCAACAAAAAAAAAAGAAAGAGCATGATCCCGATGCTGTAAAGTTATTGCAAAAAAAAAACCAAAACAAAGTAGCTTAAACAATGAAAAAGGGCCCCAATAATCAAATGTTAGATGCGATAAGTTCACCAATAATGAGGCAATTGTCTGAGCACAAATAAAAAAAAACAGGAAAAGTGGTCTTTTAGGAACGCGTAAAATAAGGCTTCATGCGCACCACGTGAACTATGTCAGAGGTCGGTTATTTTCGTTGTACCCATCGTGACGACGTAGCGTCCGGAACCACTTCGTAGTTTACATCGCTCATGCGGCGTAATACTTCATACGGACCAAAGTATCTGCTGAGCAACTTTTCGCAGAGGCCACGGCATCGAACAGGGGTCCAAACCCATACTTGGTCTCCCGGACTGTAAGATACGTCATTGTGACGCATATTGTAACGTCGTGCATCGACCTGTTGCTGCTGACCAATGTGTAACCGGGCGAGCTGGCGAGTTTCCTCGGCACGCTCTGCAAATTCTTCTGCGTCAGTTGTTAATTGATCGGCGTCTTCACAAGGAAGCATCGCATCCAGCATCGTCTGAACTTCGCGGCCGTAGAGAAGGCGAAACGCTGTAAATCGGGTTGTTTCTTGAACGGCGGTGTTATAAGCGAATGTCACATAAGGCAAAATGCGATCCCATGTTTTGTGTTGGACGTCCATCTACATGGAGATCATGTTTGTGACTGTCTTATTTCGTCGCTCAGTTAAGCCGTTGCTCTGCGGATGGTAAGCAGTCGTTGTTCGATGCCTCGTGTTACTTAGTCGAAAAACTTCATCAATAGGCTGTGCAGTGAACGCTGTTCCTCTGTCGGTTATCACTGTAGATGGAGCACCGTGGCGCAGAACAATGTGGCACATGAAGAACTGTGCTACCTCAGAAGCCGTGGCTCGTGGTATCGCCTGAGTCTCAGCATAGCGGATCAAATAGTCAGTTGCAACAATGACCCATTTGTTGCCGTCGGACGATAAAGGAAATGGGCCGAGAATGTCCATGCCGACTTGGTCAAATGGTTTGTGGGGTGGATAAATTGGCTGAAGCAATCCAGCTGGCCTGCTTGGTGGCGAATTTCGACGCTGGCATTCACGACAGCTTTTAACGTACTGCTTCACGCTTGCCGAAAGTCCGGGCCAGTAGTACGCCTCACTTACTCTGACGAGCGTTCGCGAGTAACCTAGATGACCAGATGTGGGCTCGTCATGACACGCGGAGAGGACTTCGTCCCGCATGTCCTTCGGAACGACGAGGAGGTAAGCGCGGCTCGTAGAACGGGCGTTTTTTTTTTTGTACAGGACATTATCTCGGATGGCAGAAAGACGTCACGACGCGAGATAGATGGCGAGGTATAACGGTGCTATGACTCTCCAGATAGTCGATGAGCGGTCGAATCTCTTCATCCTCTCGCTGGCGTCTGCTCAAGTCAGATGAGCTAAGAGCGCCCAGGAAACCGTCATCATCCTCTTCTTGATTGACTAAAGGTATGGGTGCACGCGACAGCGTATCAGCGTCTTCATGCTTCCGTCCAGACTTATATACGATGGTCACATCAAATTCCTGTAGACGCAAGCTCCATCGGGCCAGTCGTCCAGAGGGATCACGTATGTTTACCAACCAGCAGAGGGCATGGTGGTCCGTCACCACTTTAAATGGACGACCATTGAGGTACAGGCGAAACTTGGTGACCGCCCACACTACTGCGAGACACTCTCTCTCTGTGGTCGTGTAATTCACCTCGGTACGGGAAAGTGAGCGGCTGGCATAGGCTATGACTCGTCCTTTGCCGTGTTGATACTGGACGAGCACTGCGCCGAAGCCGATGTTACTGGCGTCAGTGTGCACCTCTGTGTCA